TAAAACCATACCTTACTGATACCAATGTATTAGTGTGCGTTATAAACCAAAAATCTATAATTAATAGTAAATTAATGACTTGACCAAATTTCCCTTGAAGCACATGATGTGCGTACCTTATTCAATATAAAAGCACTGATAAATGGCCCTGGCGTCAAGTTGGCTGAGGTTAGACCCACCTCTCAATACAGAATAATTGCCATTATCCATCGAGTCTGGTTCATCTCCAATCAACTTTCCGAGGTGCAGATGTGATTGGCGTTGCTAAACTAGTATTCTGTTTGTGTATATTGGTATATAACGGATGCATTCTAAACAAAACCGAACCTTCGCAAATACAGCCTGGGTCAATTGGTAGCAGGTTGTAGGCTACCGAGACCGTCCACAACTCACGTATAAGAGAGGGGCCATCGAGGTGGCTTAAGTAAATATATGAATGCCAGCCCAAAAAATAAGCATTCGTGGACGGACAGTCGCAGTGTTTGAGGTCACTATGTTTTTTCCTCTAGAAAGCAACCTTGAAAAACAGCTCCACAGATGTCAGATGATTCCATATATACATACGTCTGAGACCAGATGATGTACCAAACAAATTACGAGAGAATGATCTTTTTATAAGGACTGCATCGTGTCGCGTGCAACAATGGCCGTCGTAAGACCGATTCTTTGTAAAAAAAAATATTAATTCCGTGGTTTGATGTTTTAACACACACTATTTGTATGAACTGCCTAATCGGTAACCGGATGCAAAACTCGTTACCCTCCTGACCAGCACGTGGAACGTGGGTGTGCATGGGAGAGACGTGTTACCCTGGACTGTTGGGAAATGTAACATTGAAGATTTTCTGGTCTTCTTTGCAGATTTCAACTGCATAGAGGCTACCAAAATCAGTCTTAGGAATCTTGCAAAAAAATTACCAAAGCGGTGTTCCAACAATGGTCCCAGACCACACTAACTTGATGGTGTGCTTTCACTGGGCTGCATCACCGAGAGTGTGTAGAATTTATCACGATGCAGGTAAGGAAATGCAAACGGTTTTGATTAGTCCCTAGTGTGCTAATAATGCGAGGCTCATTTGAAAACTCCCCAAATTGTCTCTATCTTTGAGATAAAGCCATTTGCTTTGCATGAATTAAACAGAAGGAATATTTGGTGCAAATTTATCTAAATATAAATTACAAAAAGAAAATAAAATAAATGCAGTTTGTTACGTGGCAAAGCTCTCATTAACATACGACAACCATCATAATTCGCACCATGTGACTAGAGTAAAGAAGCCAGATATTCAAGCGAAGAAAATTAACAGTGTGAAAAATACTTCCGTCGATAACTGCTACATTTGTATTGTGACTGACTATGCGAAAATTTTCGGAAAATATCTGATTTGTGCCTGATATCAACTTTTTCAGAGACAGCTGTTTCATACGGTGCCTTTCCTCAAGAACTTTCATTTTTAACCTTCGTTCCTTTTTTACTTGTTTGCTCCCGCTTGTATTTACCACCAGTGATTTTTGACACGGTACCTTAATACCAAACTTTTGCAGCCACATGTTTTCCGGGTTAACCGGTAGTAACTAGGCTTACTGTGAGCTATGAGAACCATCGCGAGCGACCGTAGTCGACGCACTTCAATTCATTTTAGATCAGCCTGTTAACTATTTTCACTCCAAACAATTGAATGCTTTATAATTTTATCAGCGATCTACCTAGAAAATCCCAAAATAATAGCACTTGTGAATGCCTTATAAAAGAAGCGATCTTCTCAAATTAGGAAGGACGTTTACGAATCCTGTTTCTCCAAAACACTAGCTCAGCTGGAATGGGCGTTTTATCCAACTTCGGAATCACAGTTAATTGTCTAAGACTGAATCAACGCTATAACAATGATGGTTTTCAATTGGATGTGTTGATTCCAGTGGAACAAAATGGAGAAAATTTTGACGGTGAATGTTTGGTTCAACCGCATTGGTTTTTCACATTCACTGTCTTAACTGATTGAGCCACTCGCACAAGGTGATGGCCATCGACCGTGTAGCTCAGGGGTGAGGGTTTGAAGTCGCAACCCGGAGGTTCACGGTTCGGGTCCTGGAAGGGACACAAATGGTACGCACTAATGACAAGTCCCGAACAGGACAAAACAGCTTTCCAGTGCTCGTTGTCGGTTATCACAAACATTTCCTTCGCATTTACACATCGAAAAAACGTTTCTGATCCTTCAACTTAGCTGTATCTGACGATTGAATCGCGTTATCCATAAGGGGATTTCCAAGTAGCCCTGGGTTTTTGTCAATTTCACGTTGCAGAAAACCCTCAGTGGTCAGATTATAACGTGTGATCATGCGGTCAAGTAGGACGTAGAGGAATTAGGTTTTCGAAACATCTATTACTCCCAGTAACGGTAATTTGGTACCAATCCACAAGGATCTAGCCGCCAACCCGAAAGCGTGAATCAAGAATATACGCAAAGCCAACGCATACTCATATAGAATTGAGTTACATGGAACTAAATGAAAGATTGCACGATCTATGTAGTGAGTTAACCATGTTTCGTTGCTCAGCTTGCGTCATTTGCGGATCATTCTGGTACCAACCCCGTGTTCAAGCACTTAATTTCAGATATCACACGAAACTTTCTGTCGCAATGCAATATACATATTATAAATTTAGATAACCTCAATCTCTAAAACTTTGAACGAATATAAATGCTCATTGATTATTTAAACCTTCTCAATAATATTGCACTGATCATTGGTCGCCAGCTCACCAAATACGCCACTGAAAAGCTTTTTAAGCTCCTAGTTGACAGCTCTAATTTCCCCCTTCATCCAAAAACATGGTGATGAACTCAAAGTTGGGTTAAATGCAACAACTCTGGCTGCAAAATCGTGAAGAAATCACTGTGATATTAAAAGAGGGAAACGAGTTCATCATAGTTCAATCGGTAATGACTGCTTTGAATCCCTGCAGTATTGAGAAACTAGCTGAAGCCGTATCGATAAAGGTTATTCGCTCAAGCTAACACATACTAATTGAAAGTGCATTGCTTTCGGGTTGTACCGTAACCGCACGAAACAGATCTGTTCAATTGTTTCACAAGCTTCAGTTCAGTCCACCACTTGTTTAATTGGCTACGTTCAATTCCGCTGGACCTTATTGATCTACCACAGAAGAACGTGCCAAGGCTGTCTACAGAATAAGAGGAGCAAAATATTATGCTTAGCATTCATTTCAAATGGTCTGTCAATCTACGCACATAATTATGCCATCACGTATCAACGCCGCCACAATCAGGTGAAATACGGACAATCTTTATTCAAAAAGGGTACGATTACTCATAAAAATACTGTGTTAATAACCGAGGCGTGATCACGGTTACGCTTGTTTATTTTCAAATGTTTGGTGAGAATAATCTGTTTTTACAATTCCAGATGGATGCAGTCAGTGCTTACCTGGTCTTACATGCTGAAGATTTTCTCAATTATTCCATGGGCATTTCGATTCATTAACCACATCCCTCCAATTGTAAAGTCTATATTTTGAGTTCATTCTGAAATGCAAGTGTCGTAGATACGTGTCATCTTATCTTTGATATCGCGCGAACCATTGAGAGTTATTAGTCACCTGCTCTTTTAGACCATGATTCCTTGTTATTCCAATCACCTGGTGTATTAGTTGTCCAATTGAAATACTCAAACATCACTTACTAAAGTGTACAAGGGCTATTGTGATTATCTTCATGACAGGAATGATGTATGAAGCACGAAGCTGAGTAAATTTACAACAATATTTAGACATTTCTAAGAACGTTTTGGATGTATATTTAATAACCCGGTATACTGTAGTATGCCTTAAAAACAAGCACTCAACCAAAAGGGACAATTTATTGAGAATAATGTGCTGTCACAAACTGTTGAAGCAGGATTTTATATTTTTTTTAGTATTGTGGATCGGATTCGAAATGGAGTTCCGGAATTCATGCAATACCAATCTCCAAAATAGAACATCCCCGAATAGAACAGTACACGCAGTTTCTTCGAAGTTAATTCCACGCATAAAAAATGTACGGTAACCTTGTCGAGGTCAGTTTCATTCGTCACACTCACCGCACCTAGAATTGACTATAAGGTGTCTGTAATCCAGTGGTGGCTTTGCACAAAATCGTCCAGACCGTACATCTCGCTCATTCACAGATCACTAATCAGTAGCATTTTGATGTTTAAAATTCCGTTCCTCATTCGTAGCAAATTGATTAGAATCTAAGGAAACGCTGTTAAACTCGGAAGGTTCATCATTAAATGTGAAACAGACTGACTTGGAGTGTGAAAATGAATTTGATCCACATGTCTTCTGTGTACAGACAAATCATTCTCGTCGAGTGGTTGAAGCATTCTCCGAATAAATACTTTAGGAAAATTCCTGAAGAGGGTCTCAGGTCATTACTATGGGAAATTCAACTTCAACGGAATTAACACACAATAAACTGGATCTCGAACTTCGAACTTTGTCAAGTTTACCGGGTGTTTCCTTAGTAGAGGAATGAACAGGAGTGCGATATTGGAACAGGTCAACACCTGCATCCATTTCAGAAAATGTGGATAGATTTAAGCAGTAACAGCTTCCCAAGTGTTCGCACAAAATTCTTTGCTTCGTCATCAGAACAGGGATGTCTGGGAGCGGTAAACAAGAGTTTGCATCCAAGGTTACGAAGCCATTCTGAAACGCTTTTCGTGAAGTGACTGTCATTATCAGTGACAAGTAAAACAGGAATATCCTCCTGACTGAAAACTTCACGGAAGGCATGAATGGTAAAATCCGATGATGGTAACCCTAGTGCAAAATACAAAATAGCAACAAGAGCTTACATTCCATTAATAAATGGGCCACAATAATCAGCATGAACACGTTGTCAAGCCTCAGTTTAAACAGGTGCGGAACCCAATTGGATGGTGACTGACGAGCTTTGAGGTAGCATTTAGAGCAGCTCTTTGCTTCGGAACGTATGTCGGCATCCATGTTCGGTCACCCACATGTTAATCCAACCAATGACTTCATTTTTTATGCCGAAGGTAAGTCGTCGAGTAGAACACGTCAGTTGAATAACAACACTGTCATTCAAACGCAGCAATCCATCAGGATTAATTGAAAGTTGATGACGTCTAGCATAGTAATACGGAAATTGCTTCCGTGGCTGTGCTTGTTTAACTTGAGTCTCCGGAAAATCATTTGAGATATATCATGAGATACGTCCAATACTATGCACATTTTATCCGGAATTGCACCACACAATGCCAAAAATGTTTGCGGATCAGAAGGCAGCTGAATGAAGGTAAAGTTGTTTGGTGCTTCGAGTCTCCGAGGTAACGCCAGCTAAGGAATTGTGCGTTACAGTTTCAAGACAATGGAACGGACGAAAGTCAAAAGTCACGTGTTTAAAACTGCACTCCTTTGATTGGTTAATGCCTGTTAGTCTAATAATATTTCCTCATAAAAACTATTTATTTCAAGTAAGATGTCCCCTACACATTTTCGTGCGAAAACGAAGAGGCATCATGATCAGGGGTTATATTAAATGTAACTACTTCATGGTAATCTCAATAGTAATGAACATGAGCATATACTGAATCATTTGTCACCTACTGGATTCAAGCTTCTATCCACTTCAGTCGCCCGCCATAAACTGGATTTCAAGCAATGTAACACATGTCTTTCATGTCTTGAGTCGTTATTGGCCGTTTACTAAACTTCGCTCATGCAACTGCAACTCCGACTTGGGTAAAGAGACCGTATTGGAGGCCAACTTCGCGCTGCCCTTCCAACCATCTCGGTAAGAAAAGCAATCCACCGTAACTAATTCTTCACCATATAGCATCAAAGCTGGATTGGACGACCCAATAATTTGCACTCTGAAGGTCCCAAACGCATACGAAATAAAGTTAAACAATTTCAAAGTCTGGTAAGGGCGCATTGGAGGCCAGCTTCGCGCTACCCTTTAAGAACTGACTGTCTCCCATGGGAGCGATTGCCCTCCCAAAACCTATGCCCAATCCGGTTGGGTTTCATGAACTTTGACCTAAGTACTGATTGCTTTATCGACCCTGTGTGGGTTCGTTTGTCCTCGGACCTGTCACTCTTTTGACTAATGGTCATCTGGATGAAATTACTACGAAATAGTTGAAACCAAGACAGTCTGTAATCATGGTGCATCCTCTTGCTCTTATGTTACCAGCATTTATTCACTAGTAATTCAACAGGAACAAATAATCCGCTTGTGAAATGTACAAGACCAAATGCCTTGCATCAAAATAGGTTTACCAAAATAGGGTACTGCAACACAAATTGGAAGATAAATGATAAAATGTGCCGTGAACAAACCACAAACTGCGGGACAATGCGGTGGAAACAAAACACCGCAGAACCGTGAAATCAAGTCTATACAACGGGAGCAACAGAGACGATCAAAACGTCGCGTGTCAAGCAATAACAATAATCCGGCAAGGTTCGTGCACGCGCATATGAGGATTTAGTAACCAATCGTGGCCGATCAAATGTCGGGAGTCCAAGGTCAAGGACCTTTAGAGGAACAACCACGGCGAGATTGTCGTTCATATGCTTGTGTTGGGAAGCCTGAATCAGACGGTTGCGTGCAATTTTTGAACCAACGTGTGTATGTGTGGGGAGGTATGCTATAGAATCAATAAAGTCAGGCATGCCGACAAGTCATATAAGTACGTGTGCGGGTCAAGTGGAACGAGGTCGCTGATGTGTCGACCAGCAAACAGGTCAACAAACAGTTGCCAGTAATGTGGGCCAAAGGTTTGGTTGTGGGTGAGAAGTTCGAGTACACTAGCTCATAGTGGGTGACACGATGCAGGGCTGAATGGAATCAACATTCACATTGAATTGATTCAATAGGTTAACTGCTGATCCTATGATTCTCTCTCGGGACAAATCGTCAGAATGCGCAACAAAGTTGTTAGAAAGGCTCAGTGGCCATATATAGGATAACTGAGTTAATGCAGATAAAGGGAAGACGGGCGGTGTCTTTTCGGACTCAGGAGCCCCAGGTGGTTAGTTCAAAGACCTTGTTATTTGACCGTCACCGTACGAAATCCCGTGCTTCAGTCGAGAGCACACCTCACAAGGTTTATTGACCGACAATTGATCGTAATTATGTACAACAAAGATGAAGCCATAAATAATTAGCATTCGACATCGGTATTCACAGCAAACGTCATGTGATCTCTACTCGAAAAGCATGGGTGGGAATTCGGTGAGGATAGCGAAAAATGCAGTTTCATGTATCAGACCGAAACAGTGTCAGGTTTGGAGATCCTCTTGAATACCTTCATGCTGCAGTACACGACTTCGATTCATATCCCGCTGTGAGGTCCTACTTAGATTGTTGAATAATCGGGTAGTGAATGAGGAAGTTTATTTGTAAAACGTACAGATAAACCTCGTTTACGAGCCACTGAGCAGGTAGGAGTGAGGAAACATTTGCGGGCAGGCAAGCGGGCTACCACCAGACGCATGATTTACTTGAAATAGCAAACCGTTCAAGTGATAGCTATTCAAATTATCGCAATAACACCTTAATACGACCCGCAGTGGTTATATCATATGAGTCCTGTTTGAACCGTTGGAATTCCGAAGGGTCCATAACACCGGGTTCTCTGGCATCGATCTCAGAATGCTTCGTGAGCTCTCTGGATGAAGTAATCTTGGACGCTTTAATCACCAGTATTCTGCACCCCCAAAACAACCTCGTCGACCTCATTTGCTCTCCTGCGTGTTGTTACCAGTACCAGAAGAGCTTACTCTTCATCCGGTCTGTCAGGAACATCGCTTGTTTGTGACGAAAATCCGAAGTTAATAAACCATCGTCATACACCACAAGCTTCTTTTGAATACAATGATTGTTTTCTTGAATTCCTCGTCAACTGAACAACACGTCATGTGAAACTTTGCGTTGACGTGCATAGGTATCTTGGGAATGTANAAAACAGAGGGTCAGTCACCTTCTTTAACAGTGGCTGTGAAAGTGTTCGTACCAGCGTTGGTTGCCGAAGACACCATTTTCACATTGATCACGTTCGACAACGAAACCGGCGGTTGTTCGGAAACATTTTTTTTTCTTGAATTCCTCGTCAACTGAACAACACGTCATGTGAAACTTTGCGTTGACGTGCATAGGTATCTTGGGAATGTAAAATAACGCTACTTCTGTTTCAATGATATATTTGACCGTCCTACCTGTAAACCTAGTCAACTAGACTATGATCAGACTGAGGTGAGTCCCTCGGACGAGCTGCGACAGGATGTGGAATCTAGTGATGAAATGCTAACTCGGTTTTCTGATAAGTAGAACAATATCCCGGAAACAAAAACCTTCTAGAAGGATGACGAGGAATAGAAAATCAGATCAGCGGGACTCTTTAAAGGAAGAGAGATGGGGTCATCCGGCGCTCCACGACAACAAAATGAAGTTTCTCAATGACCGATAAAAATCACTGCTCTCGACCAAGCACTATGCAATCATATGTCAAGAGGGACGGAAAATAACATGTATAATTGTACATAGCATGCAATCACCTCGATTTCTAATCCAGTGTCTTCGTATCTGGAAACTCCGATAACTGAATGCCCGGGGTGATTTCGGTTACGCTCCTGTCTCTCTGTCGGTGCCGATCCTTGGATTTGCGACACAGTTGCAAAACATCAAGTTGGCACCAAACATTTGGACTCTGGATCGATCTTTATACTCCATAAAAAAAGATACACGCATACATGCGTACATGACACTTTAATAGGTGTTTTATCCTTGCGCTTACTGCTTTATACTGGCAGAGGTTTCAACTGTCGCTGACGGACATGCCAGCAAAATACCTCGTGATCTGCGTTCGCCGGAAATGCGTCAGTTGGGAATACAAAGTGAAGGTGCATGCAAGGAACAACGATTCTCAAAACTGACCTCTGATTCGCTGGGGCCCACCGAATTTGTAAGAGAGTAAGTCCGCATGGGGTACGTGCGTGCGTGTGCTGGCTGGCTGGCTGGCCGCAATGGTCAATCACATGATGGGTACATCACTCGATTGCAGGCCACAACAGTCATGATCATGATCATGATCATCATCATCATCAGCAGCAGCAGCAGCAGCATCATCAGCATCATCATCACCGTACAGTGAGATGCAGACAGGTGAACCCCGCTGACCGCTGCCAAGCTCTCAGTGAACACAGAATGTGTGAGGAACCAATGAGGGAAAGCATTTGGGCCTAACTGAATGGAAGCAAATAAAGTGAGCCTCTGTGGTCAACACACAGAGGACACAATGTATGAAACGAGTATGCATGCCGTATCGAGCATACTGGCCGGATCAGAAATGACAACAATAACATCACTGCTGTCGGTTAATTGCCATATCCTTCAGCGTCTCAAAGCAACGAGTGACAGAGGATTTCGGATATCAACCTGGAAGACGAGAGATAACTACTCTGACTTTTATCTTCGTGCATTTCTTCATGTCTCGTCTCCACGTCATACACTGGCCTCCACGTGGTTTCCCCCAACCTAGGGCGGCAATCGCGAATGAAGCGCGATGAGGTAGACGACAACTGAGCATACGCAACACATACTCTAGCCAGCAAGGCCTAATCATCTGAATTCTACGTGATAACGAACTTTCAACCGAATCATTATCAAATACGAAACGACTCACCGCAGAGCTGTTTACTTACTCGATTCACTTAACCCGCACCAAACTGAGTAAGCATTACAATAGGAGAGTTTTAGACGGTTGATATCTTCCACGTGCAAACTAAGGGTCTCGCAACCGTAAAGGAGAACCGCACCCTGGAGCATTATACACGAATCTTCAGATTCAATGAAATAACTCGTCGGCAACAAAGGCCTTTCAGTCCCACGTAAGCTGCTCCAGCCATATAAATCCGACTGGTTACTTCCTTTTCTACGCTACTGCCATTTGTTACACAACCATCTCGGTAAGAAAAGCAATCCACCGTAACTAATTCTTCACCATATAGCATCAAAGCTGGATTGGACGACCCAATAATTTGCACTCTGAAGGTCCCAAACGCATACGAAATAACGTTAAACAATTTCAAAGTCTGTTAAGCGCGCTTCACACACACTCTATACATTCGAACAGATAGACGATTTTTCTGCATACTCTAATTCGCACAGCGTTTCTTCAGTTGCTCATTCAATACAAACATTTCGGAGACCATTTCGTGCGCTTTCCATTTCCCCGTCTACGATGAAGTAAAAAATAGAGAAATAGGGTACCCATGAGGAACATGTATCTCGGTTTCGAACGACTTGTTTGGCCCACCGAAGACCCTGACACCACCTGAAGTATGCAGATACGGTTATCTGGATAAGCCTTCATAATAATGTCAGCTTTCTCATCAGGTTTGTTGCATGTCTGGATTTGTTTTTTGTCAACCTTCCTAATTTACTCCTTGTAGTGTACCGCCCCCTGCGATCCGGGATGCCTTATTGATCTATCGGAGACCATTTCGTGCGCTTTTCATTATTCCATCTACGATGAATTAAAAAAGGGGGAAATAGAGCACCCATGACGAACATAGATCTCGGTTTCAAACTACTTACTTGGCCCTGTCGCGAGCGTTGTACCTGTCGAAATTTGTCAAGGGTTGGCGCAAATAAATCCTCGCAAGTCCAGCGACCCTGGTAGAGTCTCAGTCGTTGCCGTTATGGAATGTGCCTCCTTTCTTTCTGTGTATTGTGACTTTGCAAATAATTTCATTTTACAGCAGCATATTCCCCAATGTCAGAAATATTTGAGTGGTCTCAACAAAAGAACCTTTCTCCATTATTTTGGATAATATTACAATATCCCAGGGGAGAATGTATTCGATAGATGTAGATTCACTTTTTACTAATGTACCACTTTATGAAACAGTTGATTTTTTGTGCGATTATATTTCTTCAAACAACTTTCAACTTAAANCTTCATAATAATGTCAGCTTTCTCATCAGGTTTGTTGCATGTCTGGATTTGTTTTTTGTCAACCTTCCTAATTTACTCCTTGTAGTGTACCGCCCCCTGCGATCCGGGATGCCTTATTGATCTATGTTAGTTTTCCCTCACCATTTTAGCATAACAAAGCATTGCCTATTTATTTGAAGTCCAGGCCACAATTTTCGTTTAAGACTGCAATCCACAGAAAACCCCGCCAGGTTAGGATAAGTTACCAGGGCCTCCGAACTAAGTTTGTTCGGCACATATAGGCATTAGAATCGACGACACAATGTACTTTATTCACCGCACTTTTAACAACCGTATCATCGTTATGGGGCATAGTATCACATGTTCAGATTGATAACTTAATTAGAGTTCCTGCGCAATCTATTATGAATGAACAGATTATGTGGGCCAATCTCAGAGAAGCAGACAGAAACACACAACAGCACCTGAGTTTACTTGTATCATCCAATCAGTTAGCGCACGGTTGAGTATAAAAATACTATTCTGAGATCAAATTGTCAGCAAACGTGCAGTCATAAAATGCATAGAGACATGATCTTGGCCGTATTGATATTGTAGATAGCAGGTATGTTTGCGGATTCACGAAGCTGTGTTCAATGTGATTAGTAATTGCAAACACTGGCAAAGATTTGGAGAAAGTCATAAACCACAATAAAACTTTAAGAAAACACAATCAAAATTTTGTGAGCAAAAGTGTACCTGTTTCAACGCCAGGCGTGCTGCAATCGGCCTGTCCATGATGCACCGAAAACTAAGTGCTTTCACATTGTGTGCGATCATGACTTTTCGTCAGCATGCACATGATAAACTCAGTGATCGAAACTACAGGATGTGAAGGGAATAAAGTTTCAATTTGAACAGAACTCGCCGTTTCGCAAAACGTGATGATCATACGGCAGACACAAAGTTCAATTGAATTGTGAGCTTAACAAAAATGAAAAATTAACAGCATATCTAAGTCAAGACAGTTTTGTAAAATAGAAAGTGTTGCTTAATTACTGAGAAACAGATGTGGCATCCTGTTGGCTACGAGATTGCGAATTCGATGATATTTCTTGTTTTTTCACGAATGATAAATAATAGGATTGATGGTTTCAGAACACATCATAAAGATTATTTTCTACACGTTTCCTAAATTGGTGTCAAATGTCTAGATACAAATTACTTCCGCGGCGTACCGTTCCACGCAATCACACACAGCAACCATGAAAAGTACAAAATATAAAGAAGATCAGTTGAAATTTGATCTTTCGTTCAGCTGCAAAAATGTATCCGAGGTAGAAGGGGTACAAAAAACTACGGTTCATGGTGCCAGTTGTCTAGCGGAATGAGTTCTCTAGCCGATCCCTAAGAAAACCAACCTCGTAAATGCACACTATGTTACAAACAAATATATACAACACCTCTTAGGAGGATTATAACAATAAAGTGTCCAATTATCTTCTTTTCACAAAAACAACTTAAACAGTTCACACAACATCCGCCCAGAACCCGAAATGTGGCCAAACTGCAGTGGATTTGACAAAGTTGGCTGGAGCGTGGACAGTGCCCGAAAAAGCACTGTCCGGGGCTGGCACTTGTGACTACACCCTAACGGGTGCAAGTGAGAAGAAATACAAACTTGAATTCACCGCATTCACCGTGAGTTATTTCGTGATTCACTCACTTCACACTCTCAATCGCACTGTCGAAACACTGTAGTATATCGTGCAATCCAATATGATTCTCGTAGTCCGATGTTTTCACAACAATCCCATGGATCATTTGTTTATCCATCTTTGATTGCGAATCTAGGTGGAAACAAGTGATCAATGCACGAATGATTATGTGCAAGGCAGTTTTGACGGTCAGTTCACCGCTCAAACATACAAGAAATGTGGCACAAATATTCCCGCTGTGAACCATCATAATCGACGTCGAACGTGATCAATGTGAAACTGGTGTCCTCTGTAAACCATGCTGCCACGAGCACATTCACGGCCACCGTAACAGAAAGTGAATTCCATTGATCGACACGCATTTATTGGGTGCATACTGTGTTAGCAACCGCGTGTTGGTATACGAATGATAAACGGTTGCGCAATCTGTTTTGGTTTTAATGGGTGCTTCTTCCGTGTTTGTATACGATATATTCCCACGTTCTCACTCATGCACGCACTCTTTTCGTCTCTTACTGTGTCAGTATACACTCAGGCACACGCATTCGTAAACGAAATGAAACGCGTTCAAAACGTCCATTGAGAATCTAGTTTGAGACGGATCCTGATCATATTAGTTGTCTGGAAACAAATGAACTCGTTCATAATGAATGTGAAGAACCGTGATGCGCTAGGTTTGCCTCTGGATGTCAAGTATTTCTCGCATCCACTAGGTGGTTCACTCGGATAGCAGATCTTTCAGTTCAAATATAGTGTTTGTGACTCCAATAATCACCATATAATGTTCACTCCATCCATCATTATTTTGAAAAAGATATGGGTATTATGTGCTCGATCGAATGATTTCCGCGAAGAGCGACAGCACTGGCGACTTCTCACTCTCACTGTATTTGTCTCCTTTAGAATTGAGGAAATTTAGATCTGAGAACGTGCAAACCGACAGCCTAAGTGTACTTCTCTGTGAATCATTGTATTACTATCTGTCCGTGCTTCCAGTAGTGTCGTAATTTGAGTGTCAATTTGTATTTCTACTGTTATATCACCAAACGTGGATTTCGAATATATCCGTTCATTTATTCCTCTCACTGTTTCCTCAGACAAAGGGGGCTTATCGCTAGAACCATCTGTTTCCATTTTTGTACCATTAACTCACATCATCCCAGCTTGCGAATCAAACGGGTAGCTTGTTTCCATCGGCAGCTCTCCTAGAATGCCCATGCGTTTGATCGACAACGCTATGGTCTGTGTATTGTTAAAACTGTACCTTAACAACTTAGTGAATCAATCTGTTGTACACTGGACTCAGTCATCTAATTATACCTGATTCTTGGCGATTTGTCCGACAACCATTGGATGTGTCACTCAAACCCTTAGCAATTCATCGAGTAGGTCAAAACACAAATATTTTCGTCTCCACCAAACCACTTTCATAATGTGACGATGGTTAGCACTGGGAAGGGAATGCAACGCACGTTGGAATACGGTTGAGAATACGACTAGCACAATTCTGTTAACCGTCATTTTCACTTTTCCAGTTCCGGATCAAACTGCACATGACCCGAACTGTGGCCAAACTGCAGTGGATTTGACAAAGTTGGCTGGAGCGTGGACAGTGCCCGAAAAAGCACTGTCCGGGGCTGGCACTTGTGACTACACCCTAACGGGTGCAAGTGAGAAGAAATACAAACTTGAATTCACCGCATTCACCGTGAGTTATTTCGTGATTCACTCACTTCACACTCTCAATCGCACTGTCGAAACACTGTAGTATATCGTGCAATCCAATATGATTCTAGTAGTCCGCTTTTTCGGGTCAGTTCATGTTAAGGAACTGCATTCAATTTTCCAATCCGGAGATGAATATTCAGCCACCCTATGCGAAATGTTCTGTCACGGTAATGGTAATTTAGAAACGAAAGGACTTGTGTTGTTTTGTTATTTAAACGAATGAGGACGTTCATCGAAGGATGCTTTTACTGCTTCCAATGACGCGATCGGTGTTAGTAAAAAAACATTCAAGGTACAGTATTATTAAATGTATGCATTTTGTGGTACGTGCTATTATGTGTTTCTATTCGGAACGAGTGGTAGAAATACATTTTCTAAGATGTAAATAAAGCCGCTGAAATGGTTCGAGCAATATCTTCGCAGAAAGTTTCTGGCAAGCCTTGAAACTATAAAATACACAGTATGTTCACGAGAGATCCCACTGTACCGACGTATATGTTTGGTGAGTGAATGTATGCGTTTGCATTGTTTGATAAGACGACCGGGAAAGTTAACTGGAGATGTATGAAGTCGAAGGGACAGGAAAAAAGAGAATACAGCTTGCTTCATTAAGTGGATAAGGATGGATAGCATTTTCAAACGGATAAGGTGAAAGTTGAATTTCCTTACTTTGTGTAACGTCTAGGTGGCATGAGCACACTAAGGAAGGTTACGGGAAATGGGACTCTGAGGTTTTTGACAGAGCACCGTCTGAAAACCTGTTCTTCATTGATAATAAAATGGTTGTAGGATATCATTGCATCAATGTTTGACACCATTCGTGAATGGAAATAGAACATCTTTACACTTGTACGGATTCATATTACGGTTATTATTGTAAGACCAGTCGGTCAGCATTGAGGTGTTATGCATAGACTTGGCGTGCAATCCAATATGATGCTCGTAGTTCGATGTTTTCACATTATTCCCTTGGATCATTTGTTTATCCATCTTTGATTGCGAATCTAGGTGGGAACAAGTGATCAATGCACGAATGATTATGTGCAAGGCAGTTTTGACGGTCAGTACACCGCTCAAAAATACAAGAAATGTGGGACCAATGTTTCCGAACAACCGCCGGTTTCGTTGTCGAACGTGATCAACGTGAAAATGGTGTCTTCGGCAACCAACGCTGGTACGAACACTTTCACAGCCACTGTTAAAGAAGGTGACTGACCCTCTGTTTTTTCATGGTGCTCGATTTTTACAAAGTTGGTATATCGTGAGCTGTGGAAGCCTCTTACGACTGTTTACTCCTGCTCTTGTTTTGTTGTTCAATGTTGTCGTTTGCTGGATTATTTGTACAGTAGTTTCCGAATGGATTTAACCCCCTTGTACCATTGTCCATGTTAGTGACACTCGAATGCAGTACTTCGTAAATTCCGCCCTTATTGGTGATTGGCAGTCATGATTCGTTGTTTGCTTAATGAGCTTTACGGAAATGGTTTATTTAAATTGTAGTTTTCGATTGACTCAAGCCATGGCAATGTGCAAGCTCCCCGTAGTTATCTGTCCAACGTGGATGGGGTCAATACAAATGATATGCATCTGGTTGAATTAACAGTTATACCACATAATTGCAAATATTCGTTGCAGTGAGCTGGAAGCGATGTTCTCTCGTCGTTCTTTGACGGTTGAAGTTAGTTGATACCAGGTACAAATTACTTTTGAACATGCTCGAAGCATTTATGGAGCTGATACACGATTTCTGATGAAACTGAATACCAATACCTGTGATTATCATATTTCACTAGCTACAGTTGAAGAACTATCATTCGTTTGTTTCTCGTTTGATTCAGATTCGAAGGAAGCGAACCGTTGTGCACTGCTGTCCTCTTCTCATTTGCACTCATTTCCAGTCTGTGTGAGTTTTTTATTCACATTTTGCATATTCATTACTATTTCTTATTTAACGCTATTTATGACCTTGGATCGAATAATTTGTTCTTGTCTGGTTTCTTAAACCCTGAATGTGACCAACTGTTCATACTGATCCATGTGCGTATTCAGTTAGCGATCATTAGGAATTCAGTAATTCAATAATCAGCGATTTCAATGCACGTGCGTTCGTGGTTGTATGTGCCTCTGTCGTGCTTTGCTCTGACAGCAACCTTGCTTTGATCACGTGAGATGTGTCTGATCGCTTGCCCTAACTAACGCATCATGTATAAATATTCCGTTTATCTTTCACGCAGATAACATCCGGTTCTGATCGGCTGTACAGTGTGCCACTATATATAGCAACTGTGAACAAAATCCCACGTAACATTTGTCAATATTATCATTTTCATTCAGACGGCCGATAACATGATGATAACGCACATTTCTGATGTGCCCGAAAATTTGAATTAAAACGCATCTTCATCAAAACCGTTGTTCTTTACCGTGTAAATTGAAAAGATGGGTTTGGAGGTAGTAATTTGTGAGCTGAGTAATTCTGCTGGAGGTTCCAACCGGTCATATCTTTGTCATGTAAGCACACTACGGAGGACGAAGCCCTCTTAGAGCAGGTATATGGCGTTCTGCGATCTCGATCAGCCAGTCGATGGAATGATCTAATCCCTCAAACATGGAAGACGGCCACAAACGTTTGTCGGGAGCATGACACATGTGAGTAAATCAGCATACATTGTAGAGATTCACCAGTTTAGTTCACGTGAAAAAGCGGGATTGAAGAAGGAGATTCTTCGCAGCTGAATGACGCACTGGGCGAGTGACTTTAAAAGATGCATAATATATTGTGTTTTTAAGAAGGATTTTTCTAAAAGACGCAGAGTGATGTCAGCAATCACTCTCATAGTCATGCACTGCTTTTGATGTACCATGTTTCATCATGAACGAGCGCTGTCAATTGAGACAAATCTCGATCCCATGGGTGAGGCAATGTCATAGCCCTCCCTTTTCAACAACCGTGCAATAACGAGGGTACACAAATTAATTTTCTGTCATTGGTTTTCTCTCCTATCTAAAGGTGTTTGGTTGCACAGACTTCCAGATATCACGACTTTCTGTTATTATTTTCATTCACTGAATCAATCGGACAAACCGATACCGGTCCTTGTGTAGACAACGTCTGAATGCTCTTTTAACCATCATATACCAAGCATCAACTTACCCTTATCCACCGTGAATGATGCATCGACGGGGACAGAGTGTGGAGAATTGTTCATTCGTTGATGGTATAGATAAATCTAAGCAGTGTTTATGCTTTTGGATATGCACAGATTTTTTTCTAATGATGGAATGATTCATATTTTTGAAATGGTTTGTACTGGTTATTTATTATCAGGAAAAATATTATTTTAAGTAGCTCAAGACACTGCGAGGGTGTGAAGTACACCAACATTGGGACGGAATATAACAAGCAATACATGTGATAGTAAAGTTTACTTGTTAGGCTGAGATGGCAGTTCATGGAATACATTGGATCCCTCCGGAGTCAGTGCTTTTGATGGAACATAAATGAAAGGTCCCAATCTGCCAGAATCATCATAGGAACCGGTATTGCCTTCAGCGTGAGTTGACGAAATATCGCGAAAACTGATGGGTCAAAGTAGCTAGTGCAAAGAAGGTAGCCTCGGCGTCAGTGATTAGCGAAAGACTGTTTCAACTGATACGCTGCCCGGAGGTCGTCGCATACTGGTCATTGAAACCATATGTTAAAGTAGACAGAGGATCCACAATAAGGACTGACGACCTGATCGCTGGACTGAGCATTCTAGTGAATATTTCAACTGGTCTGGTGCTAATGTGGTTATTCCGGTATTCGCAGCGGGACCTCCATGGGTGGCACCATATGAGCCCCATCAGAATTAGAAGGGCAACGTTTTATTCAATCAATATAAAAGGGGAGACTGTGTTACGTATCTCAATCACCAGCTAGCTGCGCGTTATCCGGTTGGAAAAGCTTTGCGCGTCATGCTGAGACGAATCTCCAAGGAAGGCTCACGCAACAACCGCATAAACCACCGCGGGATACGTTTAGTCTCCATCATCGCAAAAGTGTTACCTTCTGTGACACTTCACCGCTTGACAACCGCAAGAGAGGTAAATAATCACAAACAGAAAGCAGGATTCCTAACAGGTCGTGATTGCATCGACCAAATCCTCATTGTCCCAAGTCCTCCAATTGCGTTACACATCGTCGACCAAGAATCACAACGTTTCTTGACCTGAAACTAGCCATTGCTTCAGACGTGAATCCGCAATGGGTCCAGTGCTTCGCAAATGAATACCGTGAAAGTGTGTAAACCTAAGTCAAGTCAAGTCAAGGAATCGTTTTGTACACCTTGAAGGGTGGACATTTAGCAACCAAAGAACCACAGTGTATCAGCAATGAAAAAGTGGAAATTTACTACCGCAATTTAATAATTGAAGCGTGCAGCAACATCAGAAAACCAATGGCGTGCCAGGGTGTTTGGTTTAATTTAGCACTTTCCTCCGGCTTTTTGCAACAAGTTCATTGTTTGTTAGAAATCTGGCGAGATACGGTGCAGTAGAATGCCTCTCCTCTTCAGTGCGTGCCTTTATACGTTTATGACTGGAACGGGTCGATGAGTTAGAAAGGCCCTGGCTAAGAGAAGAATAAAAGAGATGGGAAATATCAGAAAATATTAGGGAAATATTAGAGAACGTTATACAGGACTTGAGGTGGTGTGCCACTACATGCTGTACCACTTGTCCCCGTGGTATAAGACTATTACATACCCACAGAAACTTGAGGGATCAGGAAATGAGTTTGAGTTCCGTTTTAATAAGGCCGAGTAATATAATATTGAACCGTCTTTGGTAGACGGTTGTTGATCCATCTGGTCACTGAAAATAGATAAAGGTGGTCTGCCATTTGACAATTCATCATACTTGTTACCTTTTAAAAGGGGAACATTAAGTCATTACATTTTGGGCGTTTCATACGAAGGTTCTTTTTCATCAAAACAGAAAGAAGACAAATGTCGCGAGATGTTAACATTTCGTTTAATCTTCTCATTCGCTGACTTAAAACAAACAGGCACACCGGATGAATGCATTTTGGTGAACAAACGTGTACAAGCATACAATGATTACTAAATTCAGAAGTAGAAGGTCAGCTC